GACGCTTAACCGACTGCGCCACCCAGGCGCCCCACGTTGGCCTTTTAAAGACGTTTGCAACTTGGAAGTTTTCAGACGTGTTGAACTGTTTATACGGCCTCACCCGACAGTCTCCGTGATTAGAATTCTTGGGGCCAGAATCCAGTGTCCAGACGGGCGTGTGCCAGGGCCTCCCTGCCTCCCGTACACGAATGTGACAGGCCCTTTGCACAGGGTCCCCGAGGGTGAAGCACTGTGTGCCCCACCCCACCCCCGAGGCCCAGAGCAGGGCTGCCTGCATGCCCCACAGAGGCGGGACGGACCCTGCGTTCTGTGTTAACCCGTTCTTGCTTCCCTTTGGGTCGTGTGTGTGTGTGTGCGTGTGTGTGTGTGCGCGCGCGCGCACACGTGTGCGCATGCACAACGAACGTATACACTGTTGCTTGCTTTGCGTCTGTTTCCAGTTTGCTGACGTGCGTTCGTCCTCTGTATTCCCGGGTGGTTCTCTTCGCCCTCGGTGTTCGTCCGTCTGGAAGGTGTGGCTCACTCTGCTGTTCCTCGCAGGGGAAGTCACGGCACACCCGTCTGCCCTCGGCTGCTGCCGGTGTTCAAGGGGGTAGGGGCCACGGTGCTGGGAGTATATTGTACGTGACCTATATTGAGGCACCCTGTCGGGGGTAGCCTAGGGGACTGCCTGCTTATAGTAGATGGCATTCGACTTTCCAAAGCTTTTTATCGGGATTTAAACTGACTGCCAGTCCTGGGGCGCCTGGGGGGCTCAGTTGGTTAAGCGTCTGACTTTGGCTCAGGTCATAACCTCACAGTTCGTGAGTTCGAGCCCCGAGTCAGGCTTTGTGCTGACAGCTCAGAGCCTGGAGCCTGCTTCGGATTCGGTCTCCTCCCCACCCCCCACTCTCTCTCTGCCCCTCTGCTGCTAGCACTCTGTCTCTCCCAAAATTAAATAAACATAAAAAAAGAAAAATGAGTGAAATTCTAATTTCCTTCTAAGTTCATTCAAGTTCCTGACAACACGAGTCTAATTTTATTTACTATTATTATTTTTTAAAGTTTTATTTTTATTTAAGTAATCTCTACATCCAACATGGGGCTTGAACTCACAACACGGAGATCACGAGTCACATACTTCCCCAACTGAGCCAGCCAGGTGCCCCAGCATGAATCTAACTTTAAAAAACAACTTCGGGGCCACGGGGGTGGCTCTCGGTTGAGCGTCCAACCTCAGCTCGGGTCATGATCTCTCGGTTTGTGAGTTTGAGCCCCGCGTCGGGCTCTGTGCTGACAGCTCGGACCCTGGAGCCTGCTTCGGATTCTGTGTCTCCCTCTCTCTCTGCCCCTAACCCACTCGCATTCTGTCCCTGTCTCTCTCAAAAATAAATAGATAGATAGATAGATAGATAGATAGATAGATAGGTGATAGGTAGTAGTGGAGCTACACAGGAAGTGCATTGTGGTTTTACTTGTTTCCTGACTATTAGTGAGGTTGAGTGCTTTCATACCTTGTTTTACACACATGCACACTCTCGCACACTTGATTAATATGCGCTTCAGGTTCCTGTGGACTGTGTGGTGTGAGGAAGAGATCCACGTCTATCTTTTTCCCAACGACGTTTATCAAGAACTGAATTTCTTTATGTTTACATAAAATTCCCGATTTTCCTTCCTCTTCCGCTGTTGGCACGCCGGTTTGCCGTGCCACACTGCTTACGTCCCCGGGTTTGTAGCGTGTCGGTGTCTGTGGGGCTGCCCCCTCCCGTTGCCCGTGTGGTGTTGGTTTGTTTACTGTACTTGTGAGGTGCTGTTACCAGCTGCGCTCGGACTGAGGATGTTATGTCCTCACGGCCAGTAGAGCCTTGATTGTAACTCATCGTTCGTGGTCCCTCGTGGATCTTTTTGCCTCACAAACCTGTTCTGTCAGCTGTTCGCCTAGCCTGTGGCTCTCGTGGTTTTTCTTTTTCACTCCTGTTACTTTTCCACCTTCCCGTGTCCTTAAATTTCAGTGTCTGTCTGTGTTGTAAACAGCCCGTAGCTGCCTCAAAAAAAAAATAAGCCGAAAACCTTTTTCTTACGTGTCCACAAAGCCAGTTAAAACCACCGACGAGCACCATTCACCCCTTGAGGCGCGCAGCTCAGCCAGGACGTGGACAGCCCCGTCCGCGCCCACCGCTGCTCCTGGATAGCCACTGCCTGCTTCTCGGTCGGTGGGGCCACGTGGCGTGGGGGGCTCTGTGTTTGGCCTCTGTCACTCAGCGCTGTGCTGTCACTGAGGGTATCAGTGGCGGTCCCTCGTGGCCGGGCGCCATTCCGTGGCACGGGGACACGGCATCTGCTTTCCGTCCCCCATCTGGCAGGCCGTGGGCGCTTTCCCGTGGGCGC